AGTTCTCGGTAACAATGCGATACAAAACACTACGAGAATACTGAGGAAAGCAGTCGGACAATGATGAAATTGTAAAGCGTCTGTTTTCTCTCACCTTTTCTTCCACTTTCTGCAACAAATTTTCATTAACGACCGAAGGACGCCCACTCCGTTCTTCATCATGCACATTTGTGCGGCCATCTTTAAATGCTCTCACCCATTTCCTTACCATTCCATCACTCATAATGTTTTTTCCGTAAACTTCAACGATCTCACGATGAATATCGATCGGTTTTACGCCTTTAGCACTAAGAAATCGTATAACAGCCCGTACTTCACAATCAGCGTGACTCACGATTGTTGGAGGCATCTTAAACACTGGAGTAAACAAGTATACAATGAAGAATCAGACTGTAATGGCGTCAGTGCGTAGACAAGAGATGTAGATGTAGGTAACCAGCGCTCATGCGCGGAACACCGACCGTAGCGCTGCGGCGGCGGAATTGCAAAACGGTACTTACTTAAAAAAACATGCCTCGTATTATTCATTTCAGGAATATTTCTCAGTATTACTTCAGTTTTAATTAATTCAACTAAAAAATACTATGTATTAACTGGTTTACAGTAATATTTTGTTAGCAGTTTAGTGCTAATTTCAATCTCATACTTTTATATTTTATATTGTATTTATACAGGGTGTTCCAAGATGTTTTTAACAGCCTATATTTCAGGAAGTAATGAATATTTTTATTTGAAAATTGGGAAATGTCAATTAGACCGACAATACTATTAGTTGATATCATCGAGTTAGTAACTCGATGGTTGATATATATATATATATATATATATATATATATATATATATATATATATATATATATATATATATATATATAAATAGAGTGTGTATAACGACGCTAAGAATACAATTCTTTGGAGGGTAACTTTCGGGAAAGCGTCAAAACAATGATCAGCTAGAGATGGTATAAGCCAGCTTGGTGTAGAACTTTATTCTATATGTGAAATTTTCGGTGATATGTTGTCACCTTCATCAGCACCTAAATGGAAAACCTATTATAGTACAGTGGTGGAAATCAACATTTAAAAACCTACATTGAAAATGTTCAGTTGGTCCTAGTTGTAAAAAACACTGTCACAAACATGTTAAAAATATTAAAAAATACATTTAAAATTTTGAATAAAAACATTACAACAACAGGGTAGTTTTTCAAATACAAACACAACAAAAAGTCTAAAATTTACAACCTACAAAAACTACAAATAGAAAAGAAGAATTAATCTTCTTTTTTGATGACATATTTCTGTCAACATCCGGGTGTCATATGTAACGAGGTTATAATTTTCACTTTTGCACATCACAACCACATGGATATGAAAAGAAAGAGCCCTAGGCAACATAATAAGCAAGGAAATGAAGTCCCCTCTAAAGCACAGGTAGGTAATCTATGCATGTCATGATAAGTTCCCCACATTTTCCAGTTTGTTACTTCTTGTCAAGTCCTGTTGAAGTAGAAAGGAATAAATACAACTTAAGTTTTCAACATCTTTCTTACAGTTCATAGGAGAGCTGCAGTTATGGATGTAGCACATTTCTATGAAGTTTCTCTTAAATTGGTTGTCAACCCTCTTTAGTACTTGCACATTTTCATAGTTAGCAGTGTGTCCAGTATTCTTAATATGTTGGCTAAAGGCTGTGCTGGTGGGCTTCCTCACAACATCACTCCTGTGCAAAGCTATTCTTTTTGAGAGTTTCTGGCTGGTTTGACCGACATACACTTCTGAACAAGAACCACATGGAATAGAATACACTACATTGAAGTTATCCAGTTTTTTAACTCTTTCTGTCAGGTGAGTAAAGTATGTCCCTAATCTTTTGTAAACAGAATTTGCTATCACTATGTTGAACTGTCTGAAAAGGTTTGTGATCTGTGGTGATAAACCTTTGATGTAAGGCAATCTCCCATAGAACACTTCTACTGTTTCTCCTTCTAATGTTTGTCTTTGCTGTGTTCTAACTGTTGGCATATCTTGAAATAGCAATTTATTAAGAAGCATCTTAGGGTAGTGATTTTTTCTAAGAATCTCATACAATAACTTGATGTTCTTATTGTAGTTTGAAGGGTGACATCATCAAAGGTCTGAAAAACAGAATAAAAAGAATTTGTCACCCTTCAAACTACAATAAGAACATCAAGTTATTGTATAAGATTCTTAGAAAAAATCACTACCCTAAGATGCTTCTTAATAAATTGCTATTTCAAGATATGCCAACAGTTAGAACACAGCAAAGACAAACATTAGAAGGAGAAACAGTAGAAGTGTTCTATGGGAGATTGCCTTACATCAAAGGTTTATCACCACAGATCACAAACCTTTTCAGACAGTTCAACATAGTGATAGCAAATTCTGTTTACAAAAGATTAGGGACATACTTTACTCACCTGACAGAAAGAGTTAAAAAACTGGATAACTTCAATGTAGTGTATTCTATTCCATGTGGTTCTTGTTCAGAAGTGTATGTCGGTCAAACCAGCCAGAAACTCTCAAAAAGAATAGCTTTGCACAGGAGTGATGTTGTGAGGAAGCCCACCAGCACAGCCTTTAGCCAACATATTAAGAATACTGGACACACTGCTAACTATGAAAATGTGCAAGTACTAAAGAGGGTTGACAACCAATTTAAGAGAAACTTCATAGAAATGTGCTACATCCATAACTGCAGCTCTCCTATGAACTGTAAGAAAGATGTTGAAAACTTAAGTTGTATTTATTCCTTTCTACTTCAACAGGACTTGACAAGAAGTAACAAACTGGAAAATGTGGGGAACTTATCATGACATGCATAGATTACCTACCTGTGCTTTAGAGGGGACTTCATTTCATTGCTTATTATGTTGCCTAGGGCTCTTTCTTTTCATATCCATGTGGTTGTGATGTGCAAAAGTGAAAATTATAACCTCGTTACATATGACACCCGGATGTTGACAGAAATATGTCATCAAAAAAGAAGATTAATTCTTCTTTTCTATTTGTAGTTTTTGTAGGTTGTAAATTTTAGACTTTTTGTTGTGTTTGTATTTGAAAAACTACCCTGTTGTTGTAATGTTTTTATTCAAAATTTTAAATGTATTTTTTAATATTTTTAACATGTTTGTGACAGTGTTTTTTACAACTAGGACCAACTGAACATTTTCAATGTAGGTTTTTAAATGTTGATTTCCACCACTGTACTATAATAGGTTTTCCATTTAGGTGCTGATGAAGGTGACAACATATCACCGAAAATTTCACATATAGAATAAAGTTCTACACCAAGCTGGCTTATACCATCTCTAGCTGATCATTGTTTTGACGCTTTCCCGAAAGTTACCCTCCAAAGAATTATATATATATATATATATATATATATATATATATATATATATATATATATATATATATATATATATATATATACATGAGATCTGTGACGCTATCACGGGCGCTGTGGCGTCATTACAATGGAAAAAATTTAATGGATCATGAAGATGAAGGTTAAGTCAAACGAAAGGCGTTTTTATCCCAAATTTAACGGTTTACCATAATAATAGGGGTAATAATGTTAATAAATACGCTAAATTTTCAGTTTAATGGCGCCTTTATTATCTCCAAATTAACCTGAAACTAGCACATTTTTATAGTTTTTATAATTTCACGAGAAAAGCAAGTTGTCCTTTTCATTTTTTTGGACAAATACAAATAGTAACAACTAATGTCATTTCTTGTGTTCACTCGCTAATACGTTCATTGTAGTTTTGAAACAGAATTTTGAAATATTTTAGTTCATACAGTAGTAAAAATGCCTTTCCCATTCACCCTTAATGAATACGTAGCTATGTTACGTATGAGTTATGGTAAATGTAGAAAAAATGTTCGAAATGCTCAAGCATTCTATACGGAACGCTTTCCCGAAAACAAAAACACCGTCTAAACTTTTTCTATGGTTAAGGAGAAGAAGCGACAAGGTTCATTTACAAATGGTAAACATACAGATCAGGTCAGACCAATAGAGACTTAAAAAAAAACTTGGTGAATGCTTTAGCATATGTAACAATTAATCCACATGCTTCCATAAGGCCTATTGCTGCAGAAACTGGAGTGTTTCCATAATAATGGAATTGTAAATCACTATAACCGCCATTATTGTTCAGTTGAAAATTCGCACTGTTTAAGATAAACTCGCTTACAAACTAGTTGGGGAGTTAATGTTTAGTGTGGGCTATTTATTAGTCGTTTAATAAGTTCATATTTTTTGAAGAATAGTTAAATAGTCAGAGATATCTCAAGTTTCTGAAAATTGAGCTAGCTTCTTTTGTTACTGGAGAATATTCCTTTACGCGAAAGAGGAGTTATGATATAGCAACAAGATGGCTCACCCCCGTATAACAGCGGTAGTGTAATGAATTATCGTAATGTCACATTTCCAAACAGTTGATTGGAACTAACGGATCGGTCCAATTGCCACCAAGATCGCCTGTGCTATAACCTTTAGATTTTTTTTGCAATGGGCTATTTAAAAGGAATCGTTTATAACCAAGGACGTACATATGTAGACGATTTAAAAACTAAAATTAGACAAGTGCATACTCTGATTTCGCCAGAAGCAGTTCACATATACACGTGAACGGCTTAAACGATTTGACGCTTGAATTGAAGCAGAAGGAGGTCATTTTGAACACCTACTATAAAATTATTTCATATTTTGAATATTATTGATTATTGTTGAAAATAAACATTAACTTGAAAATTTAACGTACTTATTTATATTAATACCCTCATTATGGTACTCTGTTGAATTTGGGATAAAAACCCTTTCATTTGACCATCCTTCACCCCCTGATTCACTTTTCCATTGTAATGACTTCACAGCGCCCGGGATGATGTCATAAAAATTTCCAACACATTTTATGTAATGTCTATTTGTGAAATATATGATTTAGTTTATTAATATCGTGTTTCAGCTGCCACTGTAGATCTTAGTGATGGGAAATTATTAACCAACAAAAAGAAGTTCGAAAGACTTAGGTCATGTCTGCAAGTTTTAGAAAAGGTTACAGTATTGGTATCCTGGGAACCACCTGACGAAATAATATGTCCATCTTCGATTGCTAAATTCTTTGTAGATCTTGGATACAGGGTGGAAGAGTGTACAGCTACAAATTATTCTCATACAATCAATACGAAAGTTTTCGGTATAAATCTTGAGAGTGAAGATGAATTTGATACTTTAGAGTTTATGGAGTGGTTGGGAATGGTCATGCTAGGTTGTAACTTGAAGCCAGATAAAACGAACTATTTATCTAGTTATATAGCAGATATAGAGGATAAAATGGAACAACAAGTTAGTTGTTTGCAATTGAAGGGGTTTTTCTCATCTAATGATGTAAAACAGATAATTGAAAATACTGTGTAAGTATTACGTAATATAATGTTTAAATCAAATGGGCTGTACGTTTCTATACACTTTGATTGTATTAAATTTACTTCGTTTCTTTTTATCTTAATTTGTTTGTAGATCTGTCGTTGAAACCCCATTTATGATAATAATTTTTAGTTGTTTTATTTTTGCCTTTAACTGTTTTATTATACTCTCAAAACTCTATGGAAAAATAACAATAAAACATAAAATTGAAAAAGGGATATATATATATATATATATATATATATATATATATATATATATATACTTAGTTGCATGAGGAAAACCAGAAAGTCTAAAAATTGAAACTTACATTGATATATATATATATATATATATATATATATATATATATATATATATATATATACCCGGTACTTAGGCGGCACACGCCCTTTCGATAGGGATCTATGGAGGAGTATCACCGAGCCGCAAGCCCTTATCTCTTGCCGTACTGCTCCACCATAGGCCAATCAGATACTAGCATATTCTAGACTAAGCCGCAGATTCATTTAGAATTTTAAACTGCTGCGTTAGCCTTTTTGTTTTCTGTACACCGAGCTGGGTATTTGAACTGACATCTCTCGCATTGAAGCGAATGAGAAGCCAGCCGACCAGCCCGCTTGGCTATCCGATCGACTTACATTGATTACTTACTTAATTGAAGTAATATATTCCAGGATTCCAGAAGCAAATGCAGCCACTAGATAGTTACACAGACTATTGTGGAATAATAAATTAACAAAAGAAAATTAAAGAAGAATTTATAAAACAATACTAAAAGGTATTGGGTTGTACGGCGTTGAACTCTGGAAAATAAATCAAAGAAATTAATCAAAAATTAAGTCCATGGAAATGACCTATTGAGACGATGTTGATTACAACTTTGTTTAAATAATACTTCGATTTTAACTGAGGTTTAGTTTTAAAGCTGGTAGTTTTTCCTTAATGTGAGCTATTATAAAGGTATTTTACTCAAAACTCAGCCGAGTTACAAGTGAAAACTCGCCTAAACGTCATAATTTTGCAATGTTTTTGCTCTAATTTTGCAATATTTTAGATCAAAGTTTATAGACATCATTTTGTAGATTTTTTAAAGGAACAAATTGAATTGAGTAGAAATGATTTATATTTGATAGTTTACGAATTATAATTATATAAACAATTAAAACGTTTATAATAAATCTCCGTCATTTTCGACGCAAAAGCAAGTTTGAAATTCGAATTCATCGGACCAAAATACATAAGTATACACTTTTTGTGTATAAATTTTATATTTGTTTGTTTTTTATTTATAAATTATTTAAACTAATAATTCCTCCCTTCTGACTTGTTTCAATCGCTTCAAGCGTTTTATTGAACAGAATATCTATCAACCAGATTAAAAACGTGTATGTTTTGTTTTAGAAATGCATCTACTTGCTTAGAAGATCAGTGGACAGCAATATATGTACAAGGCTTTTCAGATTGTCCTGTTGCTTGGGGCGAAGAAGAACACCATTATTTTACAAACGGAGACAACGGATATGTATTAGTCTTTGATAAAAATGGAGGTTTAGTTTATACACACAAATGCTCTAGAAAAAGGTATAAATAAAGAGAATGACAAAATTTATTATTTACCATTATTATTTACATTGCGTCATCCGGAAAAATAATAGTTGGGGTACATATTGACATTTTCATTATAAAAAACTGTATACAATTCTTTCATTTTTCAATTAGTTTAGGATAGTATAGGTGCTGCATAGGGCAGCAGCTATGACATTACTTCATTAAGGCTATAGCGGAATGATTTCTACTGTTGCCTTAATGACAGATACTCACGAGTGGATATCACAATGATTCAACCGGCCGTGATACTGCGATCAGGCAGGCACGGGGAAACCACCTGATTATATTCCCGTGACTATACCATCATGAATGTATCGAATCAGTTAGATATGCTTAGCGATCGGCGCTCAGTTGGTTCCGGGCCAACTAGTGTCAAATGGGCTACCGGGCATGTGTTTGTAAGCAACCAGGCAACACATGCGAAATTGGCGCCTGGAAAAAAATTAGATTTTCAGTTAAGAAAAGCAATGGGAAGGCAGATCATGTTGTATACATATCGGGAGCAAATAACACAGGAAGAAATGGTGAAATGGCAATTATGGTGACTAAAAAGTTTCACAATACGTGATGATTACCAACCAATAAATGATAGATTATAAAAATAACCTTACTAGCATCAAAAACAAAACGAGCATTCTTCAGGTCTATATGCCAACCTCAGACGCGTTAGACAATGAAGTGCAAGACGTATACTCCGTTATTGAAGACACAATAAGAAATATTTCATCTAAAGAACCATTCATAATCATGGGCGATTTTAACGCTAAGGTAGGAGGAACAAGAAATGATAACATCCAATATGTAGGAAACTATGGGTTAGGTATTAGAAACAGCCGAGGCGAACGTTTAATAGATTTTGCAACCGAAAACAGTTTGGTCATTCTAAACACAATGTTCAAACATCATGCCCGTCGTTTATCGACGTGGACCAGCCCAAATGGAGAATACCAGAACCAAATCGACTACATATTGATTGGAAACAGAAGACATATTTTACAAACGTAAAAACTAGACGAAGAGCTGAATGTGAATCTGATCATAAATTGTTATGGGCTTGCTACAAAGAACAATGCCGCACCAAAATCAAAACAGGCTGGAGATTTTAAATCTGAAAATATTTAGAGATGCATTCAAGGAAACTAGTATGTTGAATACACAAGACAACCCAGAAGAAATGTGGAAAGGTTTCAGAAATTCCATAGAAACCTCTGTAGAAAGAACCAGGACAGAAAAAAAGATCATCAAAAAAATCCCTGGATGACAGACAGAATGCTGCAACTTCTCTCAAATCTCTCATATATCAAAACGACAACAACAAAAATGAATTAGCAAGGTTAAATAGAGAAATTAAAAGAACATGTAGGGATGATAAAAATATATATAAATGAAGAACGCGAAGAACTAGAGAGACATGCAAACAGGTATGAATCCCATGAGCTATATAACAAAGTCCGATATCTATCCAGTGAATTTAAACTAATCACACAAATAATAATGGATCAAAACCAACATATTATAAATGACGAGAAAGGGATTGCGGAGGTATGGAGAAAATAGTGTCAAAGTCTATATGCAGATGATCCCCAGAATGCAAATCACGACGAGTTCACTGCAGAGAGAGAATTAAACATACTAAAGTCAGAGGTAGAAACAACAATCGAAAAAGTTAAAAAATAGAAGATCCCCTGGTGCAGACCAGTGCAAACTGGTAACAATTTGGAAAAATTCTAGCATAACAATACACTCAAAACTAAGGCTGGTAAGATCACTCATTTTTCCCTTAGCTACATATGCATCCGAAACGTGGACTCTAAAAAAAGCGGATAAAAATTAACTAGACGCTTTTAAAATGTGGGTATAACGCCTCGTTAAGAATATCCTGGATTGATCATCGCACTAACGTATCGATATTAGAACAACTTAAAGTAAAGGATAGATTGCTTAAACAAATACAACAGAGACATTTGCAGTATTTTGGACACATTGCTAGAAGAACAGGTACGATGGAAAAACTGATAGTCGAGGGTAGAATTGACACACACACACACACACATATATATATATATATATATATATATATATATATATATATATATATATATATATATATGTGCGTGTGTGTGTTTATATGTTCACTTAAAGTAAAAGTTCATTTATGTAATTTGCAAGTGCACAATTGGATTTTCCTAATTATGTAAATTAATATACTTAAAATATAAGTAATTCCAATGAAAAGAAACCTTTCATTGAAATAACACCAGGGTAAATCTCTCTACCTGCCTTTATGATAATTAATTTTTGTAACGAACAAAAAATGTCATTAAAAAAGTTATAGTTTGTCATTAAATGTGATAGAAAGTTTCTTTGTCTCGTATGTTTTGTATAAAATTATGGAATTTGAAAGTAGTTTTTTGAGAAGTGCTTTTTGGTGATAAGAAGTATTCACTTCAAAAGTTAAATATAAGTCCCATATCATATTATATTAAGATTAATTTTTAAAATTCACTGCAACAGTGTGAACGATACGCTACAGTTACGAATGTCAAAACCGAAAACGGATTTTTAAAAAATTTTATTTTCGTAACAAAATTTATTTTTGAGAACGTACAGGTATGGTAACAACTACAAAACAAAAAGCTCTTAATCTAATTAAACACTGGTATATATAGTCTTTCTATATGTCGTCACACATTGAATAGTCCAGGGACGTAACTCCTCCACCCTTAGAAAGAAGGATATCCTTGGGATGTGCTTCTTTACAAAATTAATTCCGGGGTTTCTTCTTTTCTTCTTTCTTCTTGTTTTCTTTGACGCACATTTTTACAATATTTAGTTAAATAATATAAAATTAAAATGAAAATTATTATATATATACAGATTGTCCAAAAACTTGTTTGTTTAAAATAAATTGAATTATTATCTTTCAAATTATATTTTTGTGTTTCTAACTTCTCTAAAATATCTTTAGTCTTTCTAAGGTTAATTGTATTAAGATTTATTGGTGAAAAATTTGAACTTTCATTTTGAAAAATATTAATAGAAGGAATAACTTTTGGAAGATTTATATGAGCAAAATGAGTTTTACTAAATTTTTCTGTTTGGAAGACTTCATTCTTGATTTTCACGGTACAATCGGGAACTGATTCTAAAACATAGCTTCCATGTATTGGTAAATTTTCTTTTGAATTTGGGCATTCGATAATTGCTAATTCTTCTTCTGGAACTGTAATTATCCATTTTCCGTCGCTAATTCTTGTGGATTCTATCTTCTTTATCTTTACTTCAAAATGTTCACATGATAATGCCTTCTTCTTAAAATTTATTAATTGGACTGCACAAGGGGCTTCTTCGGTTATCGTTAGTTTATTACTTCCTTTACATATGTACTCTTCTGAGTCTATTTCTGTGCATATATCTTCCATATAGATATAGCTAAATTCATTAAGTGCAAGGAAAGGTTTGTAAGGTAAATGAATAAGATAATTTGAGTTGTTCATAGGAATAGGAATAGGGAATAGTTGGTAATAATCATATATTTCCGATTCAACTAATGGAATTTCTAATACAAATGTTATTATAGAATTTACTGAATAGCTCTTAATATTTATTATTTTCTCGTACTGAATTATTTTTCCTAGTGTAGTATCAAAAGGCATTAATTTTGACTTTGTCTGAGATTTTGCTTTCTTAATTTCATTTAAAAGTTCAATTGGATTTACTATAGAATTGTGCAAGGTATTTATTTTAGCAAATGAGATTGCAGTTTCTACTTTCTCAAAGATATCATAAATTGTTTGATAAAGTAAAGTAATTTGATTTATTACTATAAATGACTGAATATGTGTATACATACTTTTTTCAAATAAAGCTAATTTATTCTCTATATCTTCAATTTTTGATTTTAAAATCAATTGATTATGTGAAATATTATTTATAGCATTATTAAAAGTATTTATAGAATCTTGCAATAAAGATATTTGTCTTAGGGAATTTACTTTTAAGTTATTTTGATTATCTTTTAATTGTTTTATTTCGTTCTCTATTCTTTGTGCGTCTTCTTGGTCCATATTTCCTGTAATACATTTTATTATTGTTCCTAGAGGATTTAGAAGTCCTCTTTTTGTTCTCTTTTCTTCCTTATACAAAGGCGGATTAATTTGATATATCTGCTCTTCTATTTTATTTTTGTTGAGAATGTAATACATTTATATTGTATACACAGATATATTGGTGTAAGAGTAAGCGGAACGCACCCATAGTGTCATGGGTTGACATGACAGACAATAATAGTAATGTCAATGAGTATCATGTAGTTGTAGGTGGTAGTAAGAAGTATGGTGGCTTAAGTTAGGTTAGTTAATTAGTATGTATGTTATAGGAAATAAAGCCTTTTATAATAGTAGTAAAGTACGACTATTTATTTTCCAAATCCACACCTTAACATGGTAGCAGAGGTCCGTGGTTGGAAAGTCGTACCTTTTACAACAGAAAAAGTTTGGTGCAGTTTGAAAAAAAAAAAGTGTGACACATGATGGCAGGTAGTAGTGATTTTAGAATACCTATATTCGATGGGGAGAATTATAAAATGTGGAAAAAACGTCTTATGCTATTTTTGAAAATGAAGAAGTGTGATGTTGTGGTAACCAGACCGAAAAATGAAAATGATGATACAAATTGGGATGACGATGATGTAAAAGCAATGAATTATATATGCGGTGCAATATCGGATCGACAGATGGAGTACATCGACGAAAAAACTACGGCGTATGAGATGATAAAGAAATTTGATAATTTATATTTGAAAGAATCAACGGCATTGCAGATAGTATGTAGAAATAACTTGGAAAGATTAAAATTGAACAACTATGGAGACTGTGCAACATTTTTTAGTGACTTCGAAAAAGCTATAAACGAGTTAAAAAGCGCGGGTGCTAGTGTGTCTGAAAAGGAAAAATTGAACTATATGTTAAACACGTTGCCAGAGTCGTACAGTTATATTGGTGATTTAATAGATACATTAAAAGAAGATGATCAAACTGCAGACTACGTAAAAACTAAGGTTATGATGTCCGAATTAAAAAATCAAAACAATGATTTTGGAAGAAAATCCAGTACATTTGTGGTAAATAAAGGTCGACAGGATCGATCATGCTTCCAGTGTGGCGAAGTTGGTCATTTCAAGCGAGATTGCAAAAATGGCGCCAATCAAGCGTCGGGTAATGGCGGACAAACGACAAGCAGTAGAGGCTGGTGGAGAGAAACGCGAGGTCGACAAGAAGCCGGAAGAGGAAGCTACGTCAGAGGACGTGGCCACTCACGTGGACAGCGCGGAACGCATGGAACAAGTGCACAGCGGTTCAACCGACAAGGACAGAAGAACGAAGAGCGAAACAGTGCTTCTTGGCTTACAACAGTAGCTCTTGGTAAGGATATGTCAGTTATTGCACAAAATACTGAAATAGGTAATGTAAATAATTGTATTGAAATAAAATGGCTTTTAGATAGTGGTTGTACAGACCACATTATTAATGATGAAAAATTATTTGATAAATGTAAATTACTTAAAGATCCCATTAATGTTTATTTAGGAGATAATAGGATTGTAAAAGCTACTAAAATTGGAAATGTTTTAAGTTACTTTGATGCTTTTGGTAAAAAGAGTTTAGTAGATATGCAAAATGTTTTCTATGTTAAAGATATGAAATCAAATTTGATAAGTTATAGCAAAATAACAGAAAATAATAAGATTATTTCTCTAGGTAATATTTCAAAAGTTTTTGATAAACTTGGTAATATAACAGCAGTTGCTTTAAAAAATAATGGCTTATATATTATGAAAAGTAAATTAAAATCAGTTGAATTGCATGTAAATGTTGCAAATAAAGATATGAATAATATGAATCAAAAGGAAAAATGGCATCGTTTATTAGGTCATGTAAATTTTAAACATTTGAATATTTTATCTAAAGATCAGCTGTTGAATGGAATTCCTAATGAGTTTGAATCTGAATTTATGAAATGTAAGATTTGTATTGAAAGTAAAATGCATAATATTCCGTTTGTAAACAGTAGAAAAAAAGCTAAAGATATTTTAGAGATTGTACATACTGATGTTTGTGGGCCTTTTCGAACTACTGGGTTTAAAGGTGAAAATTATTTTGTTTCTTTCATTGATGATTATAGTAAGATTTCTAAAGTATATGCTATAAAATCAAAAGCAGAAGTATGTGATTGTTTGAATGAATATACGAATGAAAGTGAAAATTTGACTGGAAAGAAAATAAAGATTTTAAGATGTGATAATGGGAAAGAATATTTGAACAGTAAAGTCTACAGATTTGCAAAAGAAAGGGGTATAGTAATTGATAATTGTCCTACATATGTACATGAATTGAATGGGACTGCAGAACGGTTTAATCGAACTATAATGGATATGTCAAGATGTTTGTTGGCTGAAGCAGATATTCATAAAAAATATTGGCCTGAAATAGTTTGTGCTGCGGTTTATTTGAAAAATCGTACTTTATCTGATACAATTGAAAAGAAAACTCCATATGAAATATTTTTTGGACAGAAACCTGATGTTTCTAATTTGCGTTTGTATGGAAGTAAAGTTTTTGTACGAAGACCAGAACAGAAGAGAATCTCTAAATGGGATAAGAAAGCTGATATGGGAATTTTAATTGGTTATAGTAATGTTGGTTATCGTGTATTATTAAATGGCAGAGTCATTGTTGCTAGACACGTGGATATTGTTGAAGAAAACGTTAAGTGTATAGGTTTAGACTTTAACGAATCAGATAATGATAATAATGAAGAGTGTTACCCTGATAAAATTGATGAAAGCTCTGAAAATGACTCAATAGATGAAACTTTTGAAAGTACAAATGAAAGTATGGATGATAGTGTGAATAAAAATGAACCTGAGTTACCTAGATCTCACAGAGCCAAAAATCCTCCAAAGAAATTTGATGACTACTATGTATATAATAGTAGTATTTTTGTAAATATGTGTAGAACTGATATACCACATACATTTGAGGAGGCGATAAATTCTAATGAAAGTAAGTATTGGAAAACAGCTATGGACAAAGAAATTGATAGTTTAAATAAAAGTAAAACTTGGAAATTGGTTAAAAATGATACAAACAAAAATATTCTGGATGTTAAATGGGTTTATACTAAAAAGTCTGATAATACTTATAAAGCTAGATTGGTTGTACGAGGTTTTCAACAAACTGATGAAATTGATGATATTTATTCACCTGTGGCTAAAATGCAAACATTAAAGATTTTATTGTCATATTGTTGTCAAATGGGCCTAGTAATTGAACAAATGGATGTTGAAACAGCCTTTTTAAATGGTAAAGTAATTTCTGAAGTTTATATTAAACAACCTAAGGGTTATGAAGATGGAACAAGTAAAGTTTGTAAATTAGTTAAAGCTTTATATGGTTTAAAAGAAAGTCCAAGGGCATGGTATGAGTGCCTAGATACATTTTTGATAAATTTAGGTTTTGAAAGAAGTAATATTGATCCTTGTTTGTACGTTTATAAAATTGGAAATGATATTATTTACTTATTAATTTATGTCGATGATTTATTGATTTGTGGTAGAAATTTAAATGAAATTAAAAGGATTAAAATTTTATTATCAGAAAAATTTAAAATGAAAGATATTGGCGAAATTAAAGAATATCTTGGTATTACTGTTGATTATGATTCTAGTAAACATGAAATGAGATTGGATCAAAATAAATATATTGAATTATTAAGGAAAAAATATAATTTAGAAAAAGGTAAACTGTATAATACACCTATGGAAGTAAATTTAAAAATTGATAAATCTGATCATTGTGAAAGAAATATTAAATATAAAAATTTAATTGGTGCACTATTATACATAAGTTCGGCAACAAGGCCTGATATAAGTTTCAGCGTAAATTATCTGAGTAGATTTCAAAATTGCTATAATGAAACGCACTTTAAATATGCTGTACGAATTTTGAAATATTTATGCTTAACTAAAGATTTAAAATTGTTTTATAACAGAAATGAAAAAGTAAGTATTATTGATTGTTATGTGGATGCCGATTGGGCAGGTGATCATTTAGATAGAAAGTCTACAACTGGTTTTGTAATAAGATTGTTTGGTAATGTAATTTATTGGAAATCTAGAAAACAAAAAAGCGTTACAAAAGCTTCAACTTTTGCAGAGTATGTAGCATTGTCAGAAGCAGTAAGTGAATTGATATTTGTAAAAGAATTGTTGAAAATATTTGATATTGAAATAATAAAGCCAATTGATGTTTATGAAGATAACACTGGTACAATTAGTATAGCTAATTATGGCAATTTTACAAAAAATTCTAAGCATGTTGAAATTCATTATCATTATGTAAATGATTATGTTAAAGCAAATGTTATAAATGTGGTTAAAGTAGATTCTGATGATAATATTGCAGATATTTTTACGAAGTCCTTGGGCCAAGATAAATTTGAAAAATTTCGAAGTATGTTAAATTTGAATTAATGTAAATACAATGTAAATGTAAGGAGGCGTGTTGAGAATGTAATACATTTATATTGTATACACAGATATATTGGTGTAAGAGTAAGCGGAACGCACCCATAGTGTCATGGGTTGACATGACAGACAATAATAGTAATGTCAATGAGTATCATGTAGTTGTAGGTGGTAGTAAGAAGTATGGTGGCTTAAGTTAGGTTAGTTAATTAGTATGTATGTTATAGGAAATAAAGCCTTTTATAATAGTAGTAAAGTACGACTATTTATTTTCCAAATCCACACCTTAACAATTTTGTAATGTAATTAGAGGGATAAATGAGTTTTCTAATTCTGAATAATAACTTGTCTGATTTTTAAAACTTGTGTGTAGTCTTTGAGCTTCATTTTTCAATAAATAAAATTCTTGTATGACAGAAGTTAAATTGTAAATTTGTATAAATGCCCAGTGTGTAGAAATTATTTTGGAGGTACCTAATCTGAAAGGTAGGAGTCCTGGATATGAAGTTACATTTTCAAACTTGACTAAGTTGTCTCTTGCGTTGATATAGTTGACTGCTCCGAAGATTCCGACGATGAATCTGAAATATTAGGCAAAATTTTAGTTTCGTTTATGTGGACTATTATCTTCTTTTTATTCTTGGGATTTTCAATTTCTATTTTCCCATTTTCTAATATTTGTGTAAGTATATATGGTCCCGTATATTTTCTACTTAATTTTCCTCCGCGAGTTTCTGTTTTTCTATAAACTTGTGATCCTAAACGAGGATCCTTTGAGTTTCTTTCTTTATTTCTTTTTCCAATTACGTTTTCTTTCAGTTTTTGATTTTCTTCTTGTATACTTGTATATAAAGCTTGAGTATTATTTTGATGTGC